CTCTCTCTCTCTCTCTCTACTCTCTCTCTCTCTCTCTCTCTCTCTCTCTCTCTCTCTCTCTCTCTCTCTCTCTCTCTCTCTCTCTCTCTCTCTCTCTCTCTCTCTCTCTCTCTCTCTCTCTCTCTCTCTCTCTCTCTCTCTTTCTCTCTTTCTCATCGACCAATGCATAAAATATAATTGAATGACGAGATAGGAAGAAGACAAGTTTCCATCATTTCGTGTGCAACAGTTTTAAATGAGATAGTTTTCAAGCGATGTGTAACTTTAGACGACATTAGAAACGGGTAAGAAAGCATGACTGTCAATTTTGTAACAAAGAGCTAAGCGCATTACTGCCTAATTTAAAATTAGAAATAATAATTACATATTTGTATAAAACACATAAAAAATAATTATATTAATAATAATTATTAAATTTAATAATTATAATTATTAAAAGTAATTAAAAATTAATTATTAAAAATTATTAAAAATAATTATATTAATTGAGGACAAATCATATAAATTATACACAAATTTAATATACAGTATAATAGTTTCAAAGTTTATTTTTAAGTGATCGAAGAATTTCAGAATTTTAAATTTCAAAAATCAGAATTTTAAAATATATATTCCTTTAATAAAACTGCGTCAAAAATAATATTTCTTTAATTAAAATTTTCTTTAATTAAAATCTTTTATTAAAATTATTTAAAAAAAAATGAAAATAAAGATAAACCATTTAATTTTTTAATATTATAAACATTAATTAATTCTTAAAATACTTTTCAAAGTAATGTAATACTAAAGCAATCCTTATGAAGAAAATTTTCTCTATAAAATCGTTTGCATGAACTATTTCATATGAAAATAATGTTAAATGCTCTTGATATATATTATAAATAATTATATATATTATAAATTGATTATATATTATAAATTGATATATTATAAATAATTCTTCGGAAGAGTCTCTTATAACTTTCATAGTTTCTCCAAAAATACTGCGAGATGCTCAGATGCATAATTCATACAATTTATTTAATTATTTCCGAGATAATGTTATTGTAAACATTTTAAAATGTTGTATCTGTATAAATAATAATGAGTCATTTCACCCATAAGTTATCTAATCAATTCTAAACCACCTTCCAAAAATCGCACGTACTGTTTCGTTAAAATATCTAAATAAATAACAAATTAAAGTAATGTGATATTAAAAACGTTTCACTTTCTTACATTAATTCGCATACAAAAGAAATAAACTTTATATAAGATTTATATATATATATATATATATATATATATATATATATATATATATATATGAAATACAGATTCTCTATAAAAATATGTGATAACTGATAATTAAAATGGTTTATTAAATCTGGATGAAACATTCATTACTAATTACAAAAAAGGTAAAATTTGGAAAAGAAATTTGATTATCATTCTAAACTCCTTAAAATCCCATTATCGTATTCGAAACATTTTAATTTCTAAAATGACCAAGATTTATATTCCAGCACAAATGATATAAAAATTTGATTCGACAAATCGAAATTGAGTTCCTCGTATTTAAAGAATATAGGATATTTATCGACTTGAATAAGCGTCATTATATTGAATCCTTTTTAAACATCAAAAAAATTTCACGCAGAGGAAGAAGGCACGATTATTCTGACTGACAGAACACTTGACGTAATTTATGCGATAAGAAATAAACTGTGCGATAATAATTCAATGACAATATCTTGTATCATATTTTATTAAACACATATTTTCACATAAAATATAAACATATAAAATCTCTTAAACTATTTATTGTTTGACATTTGTACTATAACTTTTATGTTATGTGTTTTACAGAATAATGATATGAATCAATTAGTGTAAAAAAATATACAGTTGTTTTTGAAAAAGAATTCTTTTTATAGTAGCTATGCATCTTCCTTACAATTATACAATAAGAGGATTCTAAAATGAAGGACGAATTCCGGGCTTCCGCTAATGCCATCTAAACGGAATTAAAGAAATGTCGGTAATGATTGACAATTTAAAAAGTCGATATTATCGACATGATTAATTCCGCTTACTGTCATATTAACTTTTATCATTTTACTAAATAAATGAAAACACATGTATATATTGTATACATGTATTGTCAATGCAGTAGTCACTCTTCACGACGTTCGCTATATCCAATATCCTCATAATCACAATACGAAGGACGCTACATGTATTTTTTTCAAAGAAAACATGTATATACGCACATACGTAGTAAAGCGACTTTTTGCTATGCTATAGAAAGACATGGAATTATTTGTACTATTGCTAGTGATTAGTTATCTACAATATCTAGTACAAATATATATATATAATTTTAATAGATTTTGCGATACATTG